CAAGCATGACATCAGTAAAGGTATTAATGAGATAATGGCATCTCTCCTGACAGGCAAGTCTTCAATTTGCACAGTACAGATGTGAGATGACACCATCAATATGTATTTGGGCTACGCAGTGATGTAAACTGCACTCAGGCTTTCCCCTTTCAACCAATTCATCTTGGCTCGGCAGTCTGACATGGCAACAGTGAATCCTAATTCATTTGCTTTTGCACTGAAGTCTAGGGGAATCCTGTAAATGGGGCAGCTGTTTAAGCATGTCTCTGTGTTCATACAGCCATTCAGTGAATCTCAGATGAGTGATTCCTGTTAGACCCCAAATAGCTGGCCTTTAAGAAGTCACTTGGGCCAAGTAGCTGAAACCATAAGACCCAGGAGCAGGAGCGACTTGGATTTCTACTGCAACTTTGGGAAGAACTGCCAGTTAAAAAGTTGTTTGCTTCCCCACGCTTCCATTTGTTCTTTCTAATGACCAGGATAATATCTGGAAAGAAAGGCAGTTTAGCTTTTTCCTAAACAACATTCTTTCTTCCAGGACTCTCTGCCTGGTGCTGTTCTTACTGAAGGTAATAACATAATTACCATTAAATTAAAAGGGATCAAGAGGAGGCTCTCATCCCCTACAGGAACATACAGCAAAGTGAAGCTTCTTATGCTGGCATTTAACCTCCCAATTTCAATTGCCACTTTGGGATCCTGAAGCAGGTCCTCCCTGCTTAAGGAAGGGAGCAGGCTCTCCATTTTTTAGATGCACAAAGAGAGATGACTACTTTCTTCCTTGTTTATTTTAATTACTGTTAAGTGCCTATTTTGATTTCTTTCTTCAGTTTTACAATATTGAAGTCCACAGTATGAAGCTCAACACCTCTTGAGAGAAAGAGCTTTAATTCTCACTCACAATAATAATAGTAATATCAACAATACATCTTAATGAAGTCTGGGGTTTGGTTTATCTAGTATTTCCAACTGCCTCACAGCCAAAGCATCTTTTTTGCAAACTACTGAGTTTGGGATTTTTAAGGTTCTGGCTTTGCTGCATTTACTTTTGATTTCACTAATGATTAACATGTTTTCCTCCAAAATGGCAGAATTCCTAGCTTAGGAAGTAGGACCATCATAGTTTCAATTATGATTTCCACTTCCCTGGGTCTTTAACTTCACTGCTTCTCTTTCCTGTGCAAACATCACTTTGGAAGAGGAGTTTAAACTGTCCTGGTTTTGTAGGTGTGATTGTAACAACTATGACTTAGGAGATGCTAACATGAGGTTTCAGTGTCTACGGCAGAATCACAAGAATCTACCACGGAGAATAAGCTGTTCTGAGCTGAAAGCATCTACACCCTTGCCACTGGCTTTGTGGCCTGTATCAAGAGCAAGATTATGTCTTTACTGTAACTAGTAAAAGATTATTCCAGCATTCATAATGGTGTGCTGTTGTACAAAATCTGAACCGCATATCGTTTTCCTATATTTTTTGACATTTCAGAGGTGATAACACATTCTTAATATATAAAAGTAGGACTTCGTCTTGCTACTCAAAAAGTTTTAAACTGTCCCATTTGGATTTTTTTTCCCTGGACTGGACAGCCTACGTAGGTCCAAGCCCTAGGCACTGCAGTGGTACAGCAGAAACTGGGCTGGTGTTGTGTGCAGCCCGTGCGACGAGGTTTCTGCTCCTTATACGGTCAAAATTGTTTGTGCACTTATTGTGTTTGCATGTACGTTGCCGTGTTTTAAAGCTCATCCAAAGGATGCTGTGCTCCTAAATACAAGGAGTCAGGACACAGTCTGATTTCTATATGAATGTTTTGGGAGTAGAAAAAAAATTAAGTGTGAAAAAGAAGCTCAATTCAGTCAAAAAAAAAAAAATCTGAAACTTTAAAGTGCGGCTTTCTTAATAGTATCCTATATTTTAGTTTATCTGCAAAATTACACTAGAGAAAAGCAAACTGTATTTATAAATAAAATCAGAGGCAAGAATAAGAAAAAAAAATCACAGATTTGCAAGGTCAGAGTTGTGCTGTTAAGGGAGATAAGAAAAATTCAGTTTTCCTGGAGGTAAAAGACAGGACTATCTGCTGGAATGTAACTCATGCCAAGCTTTCAGCTCTTTGGGGAACTTCTTTGGTGGGAGGAAAGACATTGGATTCAAGTCTCTAATGGAGACAGAGTGACCCTTAAGGCTGGGAGAGCTCCTGAGCCCTCTGAAAGGATTTGGGAATATTCGGTTTCAATGGGATGATTGTTTCGGGGATCGGATCATTTAAAATGATGTGAGTTTCGCTTTCCAAATTTGGTTGTAATAAATACTTTGAAGTCAAATATTGTGGATTGTTTGTCTTCAGAAACTGACCAGATTTACTGATTGTGAAACCTGATATAAATAAGAAGGAAGTAGGAGAGATGAGCAATAACACTATAATTGACCTTTGTAGGCCACTTAGTATAAAAACCCATTGCTTATTTCTTGAAGTATCAACATCAGATTATAAACTAGATCTCATTAATTTGGTGATGACAGATGTTTTCCTTTATTGTGGATTTGTGTTTCAAAATTCTCAATTTACAACCAAATTATTCATCTAATCTAACATTAGCATTCTGAGGATGATATTAAAAAGTTAATCGAGCTTAAATCTAGTTGAGATAGATTAAAGTCTTGTGTCTGCAGACAGCCCTAGGCAATAGCTCTGGTCCTGTTCTTCGCAGAAGGCTGTATTAGCTCTGGCGGGTGAAGGCTGTGCTTTTGGTATGATTACCTTAGCCAAAATACCTGGTTAATATACCAATAACACAAAAGTATACTTCTTTTCTTAGGTTCAAAAGCCACTTCTACTCTCTAACCACATTTTAAAACATTTTCTTCTTCATCTCTGTCTTTACTGGCTAAACTTTTAATACTTTAGCTCTTGAAAGCGTTTATAAATGTGAAGCATAGTGAAAAAGTGTGTCTATTAAAAAGAAAAGCAGATCTCCTCCCCAGGTTCACTCAAGCATATGATGCTATGTTTTCCTTTTTAAAAATAGAAATCATTTATCAAAACTTCACTAGCATGTTGGCTGTAAACTGTCCAGAGTATTTGGCCATACCCTGAGGAGGGGTAGATAGGGCCTGGACCGTAAATTGTTTTGAAAGAATTCTGCTGGGTTTGTTCTGCAGAGCTCCTTTGCTTCCTCAATCTGCAGTTTGTGGTTAATTAATATATTTGCGACTTCTGAGGATGTCACTGCTGCAAGGGTAACTTCTGTTACTGTGCTTACTCCATTCCTTTTCAGACAGTGTATGGCTCAAGCGTGATCCAGCTCACTGGGCAGTAACCCTTGAGCTTCTCCATCCACACAAATATCCTACTCCTGCAGCTGTCCCAGGGAGATAACAGGGCTGGTTACCTCTAAAGCAGAAACGTGATTATATTGAGAATGTATAGTGAGATTGTGAGAAAACCTGTCTGTCCTTTCTGAGCATCTAGGGAGAACTGTGTAGAGCCCTGGGAGGGCCGTATACCGATGGAGCAAAGCCTCACTGATGAGCCTAGAGTAGTTGTTTGAGAAATAACAAGTCTTGCGCTTACCTAAAATTTGATTTATGCTGGCTCAGCTAACTGAGGTTTTAACACCACTGTCTATATTCTGGAGATTTTATATCTCGATGGGACTTCAGTAGGAGTAATGCTATAATTCTAACATAACTATGCCAATGAGGCTGCAGAAGTTTGATACGTCTTCCTTTAGTCAGGACTGTGCTCAGAGGCAAGACCTGTCCCTCATGTGTTACTAAAGCTCAAATGGAGCAAGGTGGCTATGGGGAGGAACATGACTGTGCGTCCAGTTAGGCTGTGGGAAGGGGGAATGGTTGAGAGGACTACCAGGAGGGATGCAGGTGGACATGTTCATGGAGGGATTGGATAGGAATGGTCCAGCCTGGGAGGGACTTTGTCAAGGAGCTAACTGCATAGCAGTGTCTTGTCCACCCAATTCAAGTGTGAAATACTTGCCAGCCGTCCTTGGTATTTCAGGTGTCAGTTACAAATCTGAAGTGAGATGACAGTGCAGATAGCCCTGGTGCAAGTTCTTCTTGAATCTTATTTAAGCTGTGTTTTCCACAGAAAATTTGGTCTTTATAATATCAAAGACCTTTTTCAACTTTGTTCAAAGTTAGTAGAATCATAGTTTTCCTCTCACACTGTAGTTTAATGGCTTGGGAGACCTTTATAAGAGTTTCAGCTCTGGAGCTTCAGTCATGCACAGATTAAGCAAATGGGAATGATAGAGCTTATCCTGTTCAGCTGCAAATCTTTAAATCTGACTTTAGAGAGCATGTGCCACTCATGGTATAACATGGAATTGGGACAGTTCATGATGCCCAGAAAAGAATGACCAGGTTATTCTCACGGGCACAGGTTTTATTTTGTCCCTGTGATCCTGTTATTGAAATATGTGTGCACACGACTGAAACTCCTTTCTCCCTCATCCAACCCACCTGGCATTAAGCACGTTCATAGTGCCAGGCT